TAATTTCGTTGCTATTTTAACAATCTAGCGGTTTGCCTTCTGTTGTGCGAGCGGGTGGTATAAGCCTTGCTGATCCTAATGTACAAAATATTGAAATCGCCGAGTGTATCGAACATCATGATTACGAATATCCATCATCCTATAATGACATAGCATTAGTCAAACTGGCCGAGTATAGAATGTAAGTGTATTTGTATGAATAGAAAAATAAAAAGAAACTAACTGAGAAAGCAATGGCTGTTGTATTTCTAGCCCAACTTCTAAATTTGAAGGAGCAGCATGTCTTTGGACACCTGATCGCATAGGTGATACCGATAATGCAATTGTTTTAGGCTATGGACACACCTCTTTCGGTTAGTTGAAATGAATAGTAAAACGAGAACCATAAGTAATGATATTTCATCTTTTTAGCCGGTATTGCGTCTGAAGATTTGTTAAAAGCCACTCTGAAGGTTTATACGCAAAGCCAATGTGAACAAGATTATCCACCTGACGAGCTATCTCGTAATCTTAGGAACGGTATATCAAAAGATTTTATCTGTGCCATAGATCCAGAGAATCTAAGAGACACTTGCCAAGTACTATAGACATAAGTATTAATTAACGTGAGGTTAACTTGTTTTCATTGACAGGGTGATTCTGGTGGACCCCTAGTTAAGGTAATCCTTGAAAAACCATATATTGTTGGTGTTACTTCGTTTGGCGTTGGCTGTGCATCAGGAATGCCTGGTATATACACCAGAGTCTCCGAATACATTTCCTGGATAGAGGAGATTATCTGGCCGGATGAGAGATGGGCATAAAGCAATAAACGGATAGTTTCACTGCTTTAAACTTATGGAATGTCAGATTTGTTATGAAGATTATAGCTGGAATGAGAAGATTAGGTTAAGCTATTGAAAATTTATCTAATTTCTTTTGCTATATCTATAGAGCTGTTTTTGTAACTAAGCAAATCATGGAACTCGAGTTCATTTTATTTTCCACAAGTAAAATTATTAAATAAAATATTTCAAAAAGAATTAAAATTTATGTGCATAAAATGATGATTCCATAAAAGGAAGCTTAAAAGATTCCATAAAGTATACATATTTTTGGTCAGCACCAATTCTGAATCGAACCAAACCTGTCCGCCTGTTCGTCCGCCCCTCTATACAAGGTCTGTTGCAAACGTTCTCTTGGCCGCATAAGTGAACCTATCAGCTTTCAAATGAGAAGAAACATTGAATATTCTTGCAAGCAGTTTGGCATAAAAAATGGGCCAAATCGGTGGAATGACATGTCTACAGCATCACGTAAAATAAGAATATGTCGTGCTGCAAATAAATCTTTAAAAAGTAAAACGTATCTTCTACAGGCGATGCTATAGTCCCTGCACAAAACTCGCACAAAGCAGGACCGACTATCCAATATTGTAGTACATCAAAATTTGATTTTTTTGTTAAAATGGGTAAATTCTAAAATGATTATGGTGGACATCGCGGTTAATTTGTTTTTAGTAATACTAGCGATACGGGTATCAAATAAAAGAACTTGGAGAGTAGAATGCGAAAAACATGGTGAAGGGGATGCGAGATTCAGCGCCCGCTCATTGCTCTCCTTACAAAGGCGCATGTCAACGTTTAAATGCGTCAATTACAATCTATGTCCTTTGTCTTTGTTACTTTGTTGGGGAAAAACTAAGTGCCATTGTGTCATTAACGGTAGCCCAATGGACAGTTTTAGTTGCTTTAATATCATCTATGATCAGAAATTTTCTGTAACGGTAGCGTTTGTCGTTACATTTGGTACAAAGTCTCGTCTAATTGCACTTTAAGGGAATTGAACTATGATTAGTAAACAAAAATTTTAATTTATTATCGCATAATCACGTCGTGGATTAAAAAGCATTGAGCAATTAAATCGATGAGTAAATCGCGGCATATCTCTTATCGCCTTTACTCTACTCAAAGCTTGAAATATATTTAATAAACTTTAAATGTTCATCACTGCTATTCATTTCACTGGTTATTTAACTTTTAATTTAATTAAACAAAACGATTGTGTTCACAGGTGACAGTTGCATCTACTTCACGCATTATGTAAAATCGTTTAGGGCACTATTTATTCCTTCGAAGATAATTGTAAGATTGGCTTTAGTGGAAATGTGCAGAAATGTTCTCTGGTGCGGCGGTTATTGGCTACTATTACATACAACAGCCACTGCAACTATAGCAGGGAATCCACAAGTCTTCGCCACAAAAAAAAACCTAGCACAGAACCGGACATTATATTACCTAATACAAGAGTTCATTGAAAATCATACCATGGTCCAGCATTTCCCAGTGAACGTGCCCGAAACGCGAACTAAAGATAGTCAAGTAGTAAAAATTGGATTTTGTCCCCGCATAATTCTTTACCGATCTAATAGGCTTACATGGACCAAAGGTGCCTTCTATGTCAGATTACCCATCGTAAAATATTAAAAATTCTACATCTTTGCTGTAGAAAGGGTCTTAAGAACTCTTATAGGGTGTGGGATCCAAAAAATAAACTTATGTTTTCTCAATTTGATACAAATAAGTTGTATGTTAAATTGTTATTACGGACCAATTTTCATGATAGACTATTAAAACTTAGACCGCTTTGTCGAACGAAGGCTTACTGTTCGAAGACGTTCAAAACTTTGGCCCATCCGATGAAAATTCTTTCCATCCATTAAGAATACCCAAGTATCATTATGTTGCGAAATTTTGTGCGAGACAAAAATTTACAGAAGTCACACCAAATTCTAAATCGATTTAAGCATGTCCACCTGTCCGCCTGTGCAATGTCTAGTGTAAACATTCTCTCGGTCATAAAAATTATTTTACTATTGACTTAAGATTTGGCAAAAATAATGGCAATTCTTGCACACTGTTTGGTACTGAAAATGGGTTAAGGTACGGCACAACCTAAGCTGGGAAAACCCCAGTATTTTCCCAAAGCAGGAAAAACCAATTTTTGTTTACTCATTACTCATAAACACACTACAATAGGTAAATGTACAAAAATTTAAATGTATACGTTATGGGCTATGCTGTAGTACTTGTGCAAAAATCAAAAAAAATTGACCACGCCTATATAATCAAATAATATTAGATTTTTTTTTCCAATATTTCTAAAATATATAGAAACTAGTTTCAAAGACGCCACAGGCTATTTACATTTTTGCCCAATTTCAAGTTCATAATGCACCTAAGCGAAAGTGGCCGATGTCGACCTGATATATACTAAGTTGGGTCAGTGATGGTCGAGCAAGTGTTTATATAGAAATGTATGATTTTCTGGATTTTATTCGATAAGGCAGTCGAGGTAGACCCGTATGTCCGGCGATACTAAAGGACACTGGATGGAATATCTACTTATAACTGATTGTTTATTTACGCTGGTTCTGCGGTAGTTACTCTTAAAAATTGTCCTAACCCATATAAGGTTATCCATCCGGTCAATGATCCGTCTTAGCCATCGTGATGATGTTGTAGAAAGTTTAATCTCTGCAATAGGTCAGGGCAATGATTCTTTTTATGGTGACTGTTGCAAAATCGTGATAAAAAAAGATGACTCCTATGATGACGGACCTTACATCGCATCACTTAGTAGCACTAGTTTGCTTATCGGATATATCTTGTATATATTCGAGAATGTATAGGCATGAGAAGATTGTTTGGTATGATTACTAAGAGGGGAAAGCTTTCCAACGAAATATTATAGGGCGCCCCCCTCCCCCCCTCCTCCGCCCTTTCCACATCTCCTCATTAGAATAAAAGTTTCGTAGAAAACATGCATTTACATAAATAAATTCACGCGGGAGAGAGTATCTGCAAAATTCCCATTTATTAGCAAAAGATTTCATGAGGAACAACCCATTTCCCTAATACAAAGCATTTGTAAAACTTTTTGATTTTGTTTATATACATATATAATTATAGGAAATTGAATCCTAATCTATTTACATCCGTTCGCTGATTAATTGTATTTTAGTTGAAAAACTCTTCTCGCGTTTAGTGCATACACTTAATAAATTACGCAATGCATTTAAAACAAATATTTTCAATTAAGTTCGTATTTCATATTATTTTGGTCAAAGGTATTTAAATTTAATTAAAATAAATAAATAAATAAATATAGAAAACACAATATAATACAATAAATAATTTAAGGCTTAATTGAATCGTCTAATGCGGATAAAAATAATGAAACTCTACACGATTGTAATACCAGCGGCGAACCCAGTATATGTGTTCCTCATACCTTTTGTAAACCCAAAAAAAATATTATTCATTTCTACGATGATCAATGCGATAGAGATGCGAATGGAATTCTTCAGATTTGCTGTTTAATGTCGAATTTATTAGTACGCGTTGTGAAAGAGGAACCTGCGACAACTAATAAAACCTTAGCCAAGGAAAGTATGTAAAATGCTAACGCTTATTAATATAATTATTTCATTTACTCACAATTTAACGCAGTGTGTGATCGATATTATACTTCTAGGAAATCGATAACTCATGGCAAAAAAGTCTTAGTGAGAGAATTTCCATTTATGGTAAGTGCAATGTAAAAGAATTGATCTTAGTTTTCGTCAAAAAGACTGAACATTTATATAAACTGATAAATTTATGCAAATAATAATGAAAACAAGCAAGAAAATTATATTCGGTCATGACCGAATCTTTTATACATGGTTCATGACGGTAAGCATATATTCACAAATGAGAGCAAGCGTCATGGTTTCTTTCAAAACAAGAGTTCATATAAGAGAATAAGTAAGAATATTATACTCGGTCATAATTTATATA